ACAGGTTAGTCAAGGATGAGGGTCAGTCTTAGAGAGGAATGCAGTCAGGCACTATCGTGTGCCTACCGCAACCATGGGAATTCAGGGCATTGCCTACTCACCCAGACCCCTAACCCCTTAAACCAGTGTTTCTCAACCTGTGGGTCATGATCCCTTTGGGGGCCGAACAACCCTTCACAGGGGATGCCTCGGACCATTAGAAAACACAAATATTTTACATTACAATTCAAAAGAGTAGTTATAAAGTAGCAACAAAAATAATCTTATGGTTGGGGGTCACCACAACATAAGGAACTGTGTTAAAGGGTTACAGCATTAGTAAAGTTGATAACCACTGCCTTAAAACACACGGCTTAAAAAAATAAAAGCAATATATATATATGTATATATATACATATATATATATACATATATATATCAACAATATTCTTTTTCAACTTGCTATCAAAGATGACTAAACTGAAGATTACTCCTCTGCTAGCCCTCCCAGACTAAAGTGCTGGCTGGGGCCCTACCACAACAGCTCCGTTAATGTCCAAAACACCCCACGGTTTTTGTTCATGACAAGAGTCGGTTCTACCCAAAGATGGAGTTCAATATTCCTTCCACTGGCAGTTTTTCAAAGGTTCTGGTCCTTAACTCTTTCCATCTCCTGCCCACTTCTCTACTCAAGAAGTCACAGAAATAATGGGGCAGAGAAAGGAGGATATGCGCTGCTTTTCTCCCCTTCCCAGTAAGTCATTCCCCTCAGGAGAGGGATCCTCCCCTGATCAGGGAGAGAAGGCAACTTGAGCCTGAACAGCTTGGCCAGATCAGCCAGAAAAAACGGTGGGGGTGGTGACAGTGGAGGGGAGGAGGGAGAGAAGCAGAAGAAACAGAGGAAGGATGGGGAGGGGGGACAAAGGAAAGGGTGGGAGAAGGGAAGGAGGGGGAGGGAAGCCGATTCATATCAGCTGTGGCTACACCACTCAGCCTAGCTATGAAGTCACAGCCAGCTACCCTCCCCCTCCCCAACCCAGAAGGACCTTGTAAGGGCATGGAGTAAAAGATGGTCCCAGGGCCAACAATCCTAATGGTCTTGATACTTGAATTCTGGCGGGTGTGCACGTCCTTAAAATTTTAGTTACTGTGTACTGCACTCACGACCCCTCGGTTTCCTTTATTTTTAAAATGGGGGTGAGAAAAGTCTCTACTCCTAGAAAGGGGAGCGTGGGAATGCCATGGTGCATCCTTTGCTCTGGTAATCACTGCTACCCAGGCTAAGATTTACAAATGGGTCAAAGAGAGAGAAAGAGATCCTGCATTATCTATTTCCTAAAGGGCACGTGAAACCACAATAATGACTTAGCAAGTGGGTCGTTTCCCACCCGTCCCAGAAAGGTGAATTCAAGGGTTTTCCCGGGGAAGGGGTGGCTGGGCAGACTAGGAATTACCTCCCCTTCTACTACTGAAGGGAGAAACCCCCCCCACGCCCAAAGCACGGAGAAGGTATCCGTCAGGCCTCGGAAACTGTTCAAATCTAAGGGAACCTTGAAGGGAGCGTTTGACCTCCGCCAGGCGATGAGCTCGCCCGGCTTCAGTTTCCTCGTCTGGGCAGCGGGGACCCTGTAGCCCCTGGGGGACCGCGCACCGCTCAGGGGGTACTAGACTGCGCCTGCCCGAAGCCCCACTTGGCCCAGCGGGCCCAGCCGGTCCCTCGGGGCGCGGCCACCGCCC